TATATATACATGTATATATATACATATATATATATATGTGTACATGCATTCATATATATGTACATATATATATATATATATATATATGTATATATGCGTAATACTCTGGCTATGCGCAACGGCGGAGCATAGCAGCTAATACATTAAGGAGCCGGTTGGGGGGAATTTTTTTCGCTTTTAAATTTGTCACGCTTCAGTGTTTGCTACATGATATGGGCTGAGCTTTATCATAGATACAAAATGTGAAATTATTTTTAAGCACGTGCGGTGACCGATAGTGATTTGAAAGTGTAAGGTAGTTGTTGAGTCACAGCGTCTTAATTTCCTTGCCAGTGCAGAGACCATCTTTTCTAGCTACACGCATCGAGGCAGTGGAGGCACCAAAACAAAGTGGTGAATCTGCGGTTGCAGTGGATTTGATAAGTGTACATGAGGAGAAAAATGGAGAAACTGTGGCTTCGTCATGCGCGAATGATCGTCGCTCAAAGTTTTGTGCTCCTGTTCAGGTTGTCTTTAACAAAATTTTTGATATCAGTCTGCTTCCTGTTTGTCGTGAATTGGTGATAGATTCTTACATCCATATCGTTTTTTAAATTTTTCATTTTATTTAGTATGACGATGTAGCAGAGATTCTGCCTTCAGAAGGACGTGCCACAACTCCTCCACCACCACCATCTTTTGGACCATCCGGCAATTCCGTAATTTCAGGTAAGTTGGCACTAATTTCCATGGCTTTGCAAGTTATGCTTTGACGGGACAAACTTCGTTCATTTCATTGAATACCTTCTTAAACAAGGTGTGAGAAATCTAAAAATCGTGTTTTCTTACGTCTTCTTCGACTCCTGAATGGATAGAGGCGGTGACTTTGTGCCGATCGAGCCATCTATGTTTCTTTCTTTGATTCTTTCGAGACAGCCTGCATACAGTTCTCAGCGCAAAATTCGTTTCAATGGCCCTAATTTTAGTATTTATTTGCTGGCACTTCCAGTAGCTGAATTTGGTAGAGGTCCATCCTTTTCTCTCCATTGTTGTTCGTCGGTAGACAGTTATTAGATGTTTAGCAGTAACATCATGATCAGCTATCAAATGTGATAGACTAAGCAAATTTGGTGGAAATTTTTTCTGCGTTTCCATTTTCCTTGCAGTTCTGCAGTGTTTCAGGGATATCGAATGATCAGTGGGAGATTTTGCCGGGCAAAAATTATCGTTGGAAGGATTGGAGATTGGTGAAGGGCGGCGTATCGTTCTTCATCTGGTGTGATGCTGTGGCGATGGAGTTCAGGTTAGCTTTCCATCCCTTTTGTTTTACGCGACGGGTGGAACCCCTCTGGGTTTCCAACACAGATTCATATGTATTCCGTTTTTGTTTTCAGTCTTACTAGCAATGGCTGGTTTCGCTATTTGATGGATGGTAGGCTCAAAATTATGTACAGGTATGTTCCATTTCTTGTGTTTGTCAGACATTTGCCTTTGCTTTTTTATGCGTTTTTGCCGTGCAGCGCTAGAGCGCTGCAACAGGCAGCAAAAACGCATAT